AGGATCATGTCAGCAAGATTCAACTCAAAAGGAAGAAAGGTCACAATCATACAATGTTATGCACCTACAAATAATGCAGAGCAAGAGAAAAAGGAGGAATTCTACAGACAACTTCAGTCAACACTGGACAAGACGTCAGTTGGCGATATCAAAATTCTAATGGGCGACATGAATGCCAAACTGGGAGGGGACAACACGGGAAGAGAACTAACCATGGGTCGAGAGGCGCTAGGTGAAATGAATGAGAATGGAGAATTGTTTGCAGAATTCTGTGCATTCAACGATTTGGTGATTGGAGGCAGTGTGTTCAGGCACAAGGATATCCACAAAGCGACATGGATTTCACCAGATGGACACACTAAAAACCAAATCGACTTTATCTCAATCTCAAGAAAATGGAGACGCAGTCTACTTAACACAAGGTCAAGAAGAGGAGCAGATGTAGGTTCAGACCACTATCTAGTGCAAGGAACCTTCCAAATCAAGTTAAAAGCCTTCAAGGAAGCTGGTGATAGACCTCAATTCAAGTACAACACTCGGAAACTGAAGGATGAAACTACAAAGGAGATCTTCAAAGCAGCCATCAAGACAAAATGGGAGACGTCGAGGGACATCCCTGAAGAAACCTGTGTAGAAGAACACTGGAAGTCTTTGAAAGCTATGTGGAAAGAAACCTGCACAACAGTATTAGGAAGGAAGAAGAAAGAAGACAAGGAATGGATCTCGACGGATACCTGGAAGCTGATAGAGGAGAGGAGGATGGTGAAGCAGAAGATAAACCAGTGCAAGGATGCTCAACGACAAGAGGAACTGAGCACAATGTATAAAACACTGGATAAAGAAGTGAAGAAGAGTGCACGCAAAGACAAACGACACTTCTACGACACACTGGCAAGTGAAGCAGAACAGGCTGCAGGTAAGAGAGACCTGACGACATTGTATCAAATAACCAGGTTGCTATCAGGGAAGAGACCAACACAGATGAAACCAATAAAAGATGAAGAAGGAAATTTAATTACAAAAGAAGAGAAACAGAGGAAACGATGGGCCGACCACTTCAAGAAGCTCTTGAATCGACCACCACCTGCACTTCGTCCAGAAATACCACCTGCAGCCGCTGAATTACAAGTGAACATAAATCCCCCAACGAAAATGGAAGTCCTGAACGCCATAAAGCTACTGAAATGCGGGAAAGCAGCAGGACCAGATGGAATACCGCCAGAAGCACTGAGAACAGATGCAGAGACAACAGCGGACATGCTCACACCACTATTGCAGAAGGTGTGGAGGGAAGAGAAGGTACCTGACGATTGGAAGAAGGGTTACCTTGTCAAACTGCCGAAGAAGGGAGACCTCAGTGCTTGCAAGAACTGGCGAGGAATCACTCTCCTATCCACCCCAAGTAAAATATTAAGCCGCATCATCCTGGAGAGGCTTAAAGACGCACTGGATTCAAAACTGCGACCGGAACAGGCAGGCTTCAGGAAGTACAAATCATGTGCTGACCAAATTGCAACGCTTCGTATCATCATAGAACAGAGCGTAGAATGGCAATCAGCTCTATACCTCAACTTCATCGACTTTGAGAAGGCCTTTGACAGCGTCGACCGAGAAGTAATTTGGAAACTGCTTCAATACTACGGAGTACCGCAAACCTTTATCCGCCTCATTCAACAACTATATGAAGATGCCACATGCCAAGTAATCCACAATGGGAAGCTCAGTGATGCCTTTGAAGTGAAGACAGGAGTGAAACAAGGTTGCCTACTATCCCCCATGATATTCCTAATTGTGGTGGACTGGATCATGCAGCAAACAGTAGGCAGCGAGAAGAGGGGGATACACTGGACGACGGAAAAGAACCTAGAAGACTTGGATTTCGCCGATGACTTATGCCTAATGTCACATAAACTTGAAGATCTGCAGGCAAAAACTAACAAGTTGACAGAGGAGGCAGCTAAGACGGGACTTCAGGTGAATATAGAGAAGACAGAAGTGATGAAGATACCGCACCACCACCATCAACAACAACAACAAACTCCAATCACCGTCAACGGTAGAAACTTGAAGGAAGTAACCTCCTTCACTTATCTAGGAAGCACTGTTTCAACTACAGGCGGGACGGACGAGGACGTCAAAGTCAGAATCGGAAAAGCAAGACAGGCATTCATTAGCCTGAAACCAGTGTGGAGATCTTCTGCACTCAGCATGCGGAACAAGATACGGATTTTCAACACCAACGTCAAGTCAGTGCTCTTGTATGGCTCAGAGACTTGGCGCGTCACGAAAGGCATTTCCAATAAACTACAGACATTCATCAACAACTGCTTACGCTCGCTGCTGAAGATCAGATGGCCAGAAAAAATAAGCAACAAGGAACTCTGGGAACGAACCAACCAAGAACCTATCACGCAACAAATATGCAGGAAGAAGTGGAGATGGATTGGGCATACACTGAGAAGGCCGACTGAGGACATCACGCGTCAGGCCCTCGAGTGGAATCCCCATGGGAAGCGACGAGTTGGACGTCCGAGGGTGACATGGAGGAGGTCGTGCGAGGAGGAAATGAGAGCTTCTGGGCTGTCGTGGAACCAGGTTCAAAAGATCTCAGAGAACAGAGGTCACTGGAGGCGTGCTACTGAAGCCCTATGTTCCACTAGGAACCCAAGGGACTAATAATAATAATAATAATATTTCACTTTTAAACTGGTTTCTTTTCGTGTAGCTTATGTCATGAAATATATGATCACTATTACCACAGGAAGTTAGAGCCGAAAAGTGTTGAACTGCTCCTGTCTATTCAGATAGTAGGTGAACGTCATAGTTCTCGGTGACGTGACCAATGAAAGTGAGTGAACTGGCACCACACTGGTACCTGGTCGGGCTGACGGCAATCAAATACTGATGAGGTCTGTAAAATCCTGTTGAAAGTGACTGCATCGAGTATCCCCCGGACTTGTAATAAAAATACCATTCAGGCAGGCACAGGTAAAATTCATACCACATAAAACCGTGAACGAGGCGCCGGAAAGTTCTTTTCATGTTTTATGATCAACCAAGCATGTTCTGGGCTTAGGGCGTCCAGAGGTTATGGTGACATCTGGCCTCAAGGAATCCTCCAGAAGCGGGGGCGCTTGGCTGGAAAATATCAAAATCCTGAGTAGAGGAGGCTCATAGAATGCCAGAAAGTTGTTATGAGCTTGATATTCAGGTCACTGAGCATTCAACAGACATACTGATGCTGACCCGGTCTATCAACACCTAAGGGACGAATGTGAACTCATTTTGGCCATTTGTTGTGGCTTGGTACAAGTTTTTGGAGGTAGACTGTGGGAAAGCGCCATGAATACAGTTGACCGAGGGGTTCGAGGCGGGGTTGTTGTTTGACTTCTTTTCTCCTCCTGACCCCACTTTTGGCGCGAAGTCCGACGTCCCACCCGTCAATAACGCGAAGCGACAGCCTGAACAGACTACCTACAATAGTTCGTTTGTTGACAACGTCTGATGTAGGTGTACAGTCACACTCGAACGGGAAGGGAAATTCTTTCCTTCTTGGTTTACCCCAAAAACACCTTCATTTGGCTCCCATGGCCTGATGAGGCTGATAAAAACAAGCCAGGTGAAGCAAGTACTGCGGAACTTATTTCTAGACACCGATCTGGAAACAAATAGAAATGAGCGCGTCAAGTCCGTGGCTCAAGGGGAGCTATGGTTAGGCGTTCTGGGGTGTCATGTGAGAAACAGCTGGCAACTGAGTGCTAAACTGTTCTCAGAAAATGTCGTCATTCACTGGTCAAATTACAGGTTAACTTCATAACTTGAGAATAAAGATATTTATTTATGTGGCATTTCATCTTCTGTGACTTCTGAGATATCACATGTCCTGGTGGGGTCTAAGCTGTCTAAAGGTTGTCGCGAAAGCTAAGTGAAGTCTTCTCAGTGGGCTAAGATTCTGATGTACAGGAGTGTAGTGTCAGTACTACCCTAGCAATGAGCACAGTGCGCATAATAAGGGAGGTAGTCAGTTAGTGGGGTGGCGACCTCCGGTCTGGAAAATCCGTGATGACTCGCGTCCAGAACCGTTATCTTCAACAGCAGGGATTGCTAATGAGCCATTAACAGAAATTTTCAGCATCGTCTTATGCCATATTTTACTTTCAGCAGCCGGAAAAAGTATTATAACTAGCCTAGTTTCTCAAACCAATGGTTGATAGTTATTATCTAGCTCTTGCCCCACGAGCGCCGTTCGGGTTTCTGACAAAATGATTACTAATAAGATGCATAAGCATATACAATCAAGTGATATTTTAACGACATGGGGACGTAGTTCTCGTGCAACCCACTCCCACCTGACAAACCGCTTTGCAGGAGCGAAGTTTGTGTCAGCAACTTTCCGTATGGCAGAGGGTAAACTGTGGGTTTGATAGAGTGCTATCCCTGAAGAAACCTCTGAGAACTTCCTCAAAAAACGATTTTAGGTCCACTCTACCTACTGCTATGCTCTAAGGTAGCACTGAAAATTATCAATTATTCAGTGCTCTCAACCGCTCATAATGCAAAAGTTTGGATATTGGTATGGTGTGATGTAGATAGGTGTGTGCTCCAAATGGACTTCGACTAGTGAGCTTGTAGGGGAGAGTGTTACAACTCCGTAACGTTTGATCAACCCTACCTAACTTGATATGATTCTTAACAGTGACTTTGGTGATGATACACCTGATCGTTTTTCTGCTGCCAGGATTGGTTATTCTGAAGATCACTGAAGGAAAATCGCGGACTACAATTCACTCAACTTAGTGCGCACTTGCGTTTCTACTACTGAGTTTTCAACATCTGAAATCGGTTTACGTCAGCGAGAAACATTATCTCCTTCAATGAATGCATTCAACGAGAAACCAGATCTTCACGGAGATATCTACTCCAAGGATTAGGACGGAATAACTCATTGTCTTCCCATTTTTCTGAAGACTAATATCTGAAAACTGAGCCGGTCAAAGCAAATGTTAACGTTACTTCCCAGTGACCTTGTTCTCCCTGTATGTTTTCCTTTTACCTTGTAATATCCACTTTTGCTGTTCTGTATTGTTGCTGAGGGTATTTTAAGCTTACACAAATTCAATTTTGTATTTTTCTGTAGATGTGATTGGTACGCAAATAGCCTTAACTATGTGTGCATTCAGGAAATCTTTTACTAAAAGCCTGCGCAAAATTTAGGACACATATTGATGTACGATACTTTTTAAGGAGAAGCCGTCGGCTTAAAAAAATTTTTTCTGGCGAAAAGCAACTTCCAGTTGGATTGGAAATTAAAGTGACTAAAAGTAGGTTTCGAGTTCAGTCCTTTTGTGCAATGCACTGAAGTGCTGAGGCACTTTGTAACCGTCTTAATGCAACCGGGATCGAAAAATTCACAAATCACAATTTGGATGGTACTTAAACTGCTCTTATTGGTGGACTATTCTATAAATCCGTTAACTTACATTCACCGAAACCATATAGAAGTCTTGTTGACCTGCCACAATGTGTTTGAGACCCTGTCATGAGTGTCTAGAGGATAATATAAAAAACCCAGAACCACACTAAAGCCTTTAAAAACTTCACCGCTCGTAAAAGTCGTGCATTTTTCAGATTCCCCATTTTTAGCTGGATGTAGTCATGACTATTAATATATACGATGTCACTTTAATAGCGATATTAGACACTTGATAGGTCTGTCTTAATAACCTCAATATACGTCTTTATTTTGGAAATATTCACAAATAAAGAGACTCCTTACTTCTAAGGACGTGCTGTTCAGCCCTTCATGAGTATTATAACATTTTATCCAAAGACATTTTTTAAGGGTCGATTACATGTCATAATAATTGAGCAAATTCACTGGTGCAGAAAGTGCATCCTACTCATTATGCAGCAAACAAAAATCACTAAAGGACTGTTCGTCTGACCAACTGGTTAAAGAGACCTTGTCCCTGAACTTAACTGACTGCTCTGCGTCTTTTGTTCACTTGGATTCCTGAAGTCATCCCATTTTTTCACAATTCTTCCATATAATTGCACTATGTTAGCTTGATAAAAATGATTGGATGATTGGCTTAAAATGCAAATATGTATAAGGATATGAAGTTGCGAGATCTTTTAGTGCTGTAAGTCAAATTGAAGCGTGATAACACTCACAAGTTAAAACAAATATAAAGGCACTCGTAGAGATACAGAACAATAGAATATTGTAGCTTGTGGAAATGTATGGTGAGCCCATCTACGTCTATTTTGATTCATGTCGTTTAGTATTTGACTGGTGACTTCTAATAACTCGAAATAAAAGCTCTGTTTCAGCAGTTGTTGTACCTGCATCAAGCACATCGTTCTTTGGCAATTTCTAGCCCTTAGTGTTATTGCTTGTATTACACCGTCGCTCCCGAGTCTGAGTGCTGGTGGGAACAACATCACTCACTGAGAGGCAGGCACATCCAGCTGACGAGTCCCAAATAGGACGAAATGCGCATCCTGGATTCCCCTGCTAGCCACTGCCCATCATTACTATACAGTTTCTAACCTTGTTAACACCTTGTACTTATTATCGTCTACGTGTTTCCGGCGTACATTAAACTTCAAATACTGGTTGCTGTGGGAATTCTTATTACCTATCAATATCTCCAGTCAGCAGTATAGATGCCCCCTCAGATCTCCATAAAATTTATTTAGACCTATCAAATGTTATATTATGCTCAAAGACTGGTTTTCGGAGACTCCTAGTTTAGGGACAAGGAGGTAAATAATAGGAAACTTTGACCCCTTTTTGTACTTTGGGGGTTTGGGTCAGCTAAAGTAGGTTGGTGGCTGACGCGATCTCACCTCGAATACATAAGTCACGTCTGGCGTTAACCGAATTCTATCATCTCTGATGCCAGCAAGATATCCAGCTACTTACAAGTGACCTAGAATACTTTACTGCGGTTATGTCTGTACCATTTTTCGGCTGATATGGCTGTTAAAAGTAGGCTTAAAGAGATCACAGGTTTTCGAGCACATCTGTCTTCATAGCATTGCTCTCGTATTCTGGAACCACTGTGTGAGCATTGTTAAAGTTGAGTGAAGGGTGCCAGACAAGGCGGGTAAGTCAGTCTATGAGGTTATGAACCTCTACCGACTGAGGTGGTTTAGTATGTTGCACATGTCGAACCATAACATAACTCGATATGTGATGTTGGCTGGTGTAAGATTAGGTCAGAATAAAGCTCTGGGCGACTAGACCAAAACTAATTAACAGACCATAAAGTCTTTGACTGTTAGTCGAAGCCGTGTGAGAAGGTGTAGACTGTCTAGTTGGGGTCCTTCAGAAATTAAAAATCATTTGTGAAGTTTCTTGGCTGTATGAGCGAAGGTCGGTCACAACAGAACAGATGTATCCACTCTCTTACTTCTTCAACAATTTGAACATTGCTGTAAGCCTTCATTAAAAAATCCTCTCCTCATAGACGTCTACTATGATAACACCATTTCGCTGTTAACGTGTTCTGCACATACTGCTGGGAGGTGTGGGACTTTGAACTAATGAACTTCTGTGTGAGGTTCTCAGTTGATTATGTCTGTCCATTTGCACTCACACTAATGTTGGTTAATTTTAGGCGTACTGGAATCCAGCTGGCATTTAAGGCAGGGTAAGACCTTAAGAAACAATCGCTGTAACGAATATATCTGTATTGCATTATCGCTGTATCAAGGTACTATCTGTCAATCAGTTACTAAGAGTACTGAGTTCACACCACATACCGAAATATCTTCGCCAAGGAGTGTATAGAAATACACCTTTAGTTTTTTACTGATCTAGGGTTGTGCACACCTAAGTGTTCGGGTGTTCTCCAAATGTTACACCATTCTGAAGTATCCGACGGACAATTATCTAATAAAATCTGTGTTGGTCCAAGCTGTTCTGAAAGATTATTTACAAACATCAGATAGTATGAGTAAACAGATGGAACTCAGCTTACTTTTGACACTTATAGTTTGGCCAATCATTTTGTCTGAATATTTCATAAACCACCAAAAAATCTAGTCTACCAAACGTCATTGCTGAGTCCAATTCTTGCCTTAGGTGCAAGTTTTCTATATGATCAGTCCGTGAAATGTGCTAATTGACTTAGTGGTGCTGATTTACACCATCTATTGGCTGCCCAGAATATATATATATATATATATATATATATATATATATATATATATATATATATATAACGGATTTATGTTCTTTATTTTCGGTATCTGTAATGTTGATGTCATGCTTGTTGAATTATAATCCAGACACTTGGCTGTCACTTACTAAATTAAAAGCTCGAAGTGTGTTTTTGCTTCAGTGTCACATTGTTTGCATGTGATTACTACATCTATGTTCCACCTATCTGAGCACCTGAAGTATCCGGTATATTTATGCTCTCATCTTTAACCTCATGATAAGTATTTGTTTGCATCAACAGGTTCAAGTTCAGCTCCACCCGATAAGGTGTAGCCATTAAAGTAGTATTATTAGCTTCCAAGGAGAGAAGATAGAAGTGATGAAGATACCGCACCACCAACAAAAACTCCAATCACCATCAACCGGAGAAACTTAAAGGAAGTAACCTCCTTCACCTATCTAGGAAGCACTGTTTCAACTACAGGCGGGACAGACGAGGATGTCAGAGTCAGAATCGGAAAAGCAAGACAGGCGTTCATTAGCCTGACACCAGTGTGGAGATCTTCTACACTGCACTCAGCATGCGGAACAAGATCCGGATTTTCAACACCAATGTCAAGTCAGTGCTTCTGTATGGTTCAGAGACTTGGCGCGTTACGAAAGGGATTTCCAATAAACTACAGACATTCATCAACAACTGCTTACGCTCGCTACTGAAGATCAGATGGCCAGAAAGAATAAGCAACAAGGAGCTCTGGGAACGAACCAACCAAGAACCTATCGCTCAACAAATATGTAGAAGGAAGTGGAGATGAATTGGGCACTGAGAAAGCCGACTGGGGACATCACTCGTCAGGCCCTCGAGTGGAATCCTCATGGGAAGCGACTAATTGGACGTCCGAGGTGAGGGTGACATGGAGGAGATCGTGTGAGGAGGAAATGAGAGGTTGTGGGCTGTCGTGGAGCCAGGTTCAAAAGATTTCAGAGAACAAAGTGGAATGGAGACGTGCTACTGAAGCCCTATGTTCCATTAGGAACCCAAGGGACTAATAATAATAATAATAGTAATAATAATAATAATAATAAATTAGCTTCCACACAATAAGTGTAACTCATTGCATTCTGCGCGAAAATATGCATGGTTAGTGAGTGGGTTTCGAGTCGATCCAACTTTGTTCTATAAAAAGGTCATTAACATTACTACTTGGCTGGTAAAACCTGTTATAGTGCACGGATGGAATAGTTTGAAGCTTTGAATCACTCATTGAAAGTCGAATGCATAAACCAATCAGCCACAGCTCCTTATTAAAGCTTTGTTTTATCACCTCTTTAAATAAGTTAACCACCAAACTAAGACACATCGTACTAATAAATCTGGTTATGAATTAGTCACTCCCAGTGACGAAGTATACGTTTATTTTCAAGTGTTACCCAACCATATACTGTTGGGGTATTACTACTAGAATGCTCAAATCAGGGTGTGCGAGGTAAATTTAAATTGACAATTGGTCAAATAATGTGTTCCTTAATCCACTGTGTTTTAGACACCCTGATATTTCAAATATTACTCTTACTTTTCATGTCCCCTGTGTAGTTTGGCGGTACGGGACTGTATAATATACAAACTTGAATAAAACACATTTTCTGGTAATTCCTTATATGTTAGCGTAACTTATGAAAAATATATGATCCAGCATATTTATAATGTAAAAAGTACTTAGAAATGAGCTAACTGTTAATCTGCAGGCAGGATAGGTGTGAATGAAAAAATTGGCCAGTGAATCTTGTCTGATCATGTTGGGGAATAATGTGAGCAGCGATAATGATTCAGTATCTTTTTTAGATATTTGAAATATTTTAGTACCT